TGTCGATTAAAGAAAAATTTTCACGACATGAGCTTATTTTAAAAAAAAAAAAAATTTTTTTTCCCAAAGCAAGCGAATATTGACAAATGTTTCAATTTCTTTAAAGACGTTCATTTGGGAATTTGAAAAATTTTAAGTGTTTTAGAGAAAAAAAAATACATTTTCTGTTTTTCAACAAAGCAGCTAAAAAAAATATCGGATGTTTAGTTCATCCCATATATTTTTTCTACTGAAGCAATTTTCTATCAATAAAAATAGAGACGCTATTGAAAAGTGAACTGAACGAGCTGAGAGAAGGAAAAGCAAAAAAAAAAAAGAAATGAAATGAAAAACTCTCGATAGAAAAAGGTGAATCTCCTTTGAACTGCACAATTTTCGTAATTTCGATGTTTTCAACTAATTAACTTGCTATATTATCAAAAGATAACAATTGCTGTTTGTAAAGCTGTTAATTGGAAGAGATAGCTAATGGAAGTTAGCCAATCAACATTAAATATAAGGTTATCATAGGTACATATATGACAAATAAATGATGCTTTTAAAACCAAAAAGTGTATACGTAATATGACGTAAATGCGATTCAGATGAAAAAATTAAAATGATCAAGATCTAAATCAAGTAAAATTACAAAAAACTTTTTAAATTTGTAAAAAAAATAATTTTACCAATGAAATTCAACCATGCTTCGCCACCTAATCCATATGTAATCAGTCGAATCATTTTATGCAATGCGATACCACGCTCAATTATCGGAATTAATGGTGTTGTATCAGACATGAAATCGTACATTTCTAAAAATTATTCAATTATAAACAACAAATGATATTTGAAGTGATGTAATGTATTTTTTTTTCAATTAAAATTTGGATTCTTTTCTTTTAATATATCTCTTACAACAAATAACTCAATATGCTAACAGTTATTGAAGCCGAAAGAATTAGAATAGTTAACCTTTATCCATTAACCAAAACGCAATCGTCTTATCACCAACAAGAGCCTGATCATGTGATTCAGCGTATGCAATATGCTTCTCAGAATACCTGAAATTGGTTAGCAATTTTTGGAAGAATTCTCGATAAGACAAAAATGATGTAATAAAAAAATAACAATAACAAACTTCAATGTAATTACCTTCTATTTTCCAGCGTAAATACCAGATTAGAAATATCCCAGTTCTCGTCCGAGAAATGTTTGAGAAGTTTAATCCATAAATCCGGTGCTGCCATCGCTAAGCGATAATCAAAACCCTGTCCACCTTCTTCGACTGGTCGACATAATGCTGGCATGCCACTTACTTCCTAAAGTAATAAAGTAATAATTCCCAAAGTAATATATCAATTTATTCAATGTAAATATCAGCTTGTTCAAAACAATTATTCGCATTATAAAAGGACAAAATGTAAACTGTAAAAGATGTAAACTCTTTCCTTCTGTAAGCAATCAAATGGAATCTGATTTTAACAAGAATTCATATATGAAGTGATCAAAATAATGATAATAGATATTTTATAAATGAAAGAGAAGAAAAAGAATTATCATTTAAATTGCAAATCTAGCACTATAAACGTATCAAATAAATAGTACAGAATTTGATAGGTCAAAACAGATCTTGCAAATTAATTTCTGGTTGCAAAATAAAAGTACAGAATGTTAGCTATTACATTGCAACATCAGCTATTTACTTCAATTAAAATTTGAGAATTTAAAAATCGAGCTACATTCATGGAGAGTAATGTTAAAATTGAACGAACTTCAGCAATCGTTACGATATTAGGAAATTTGCGATGAAGAAACGAATTCGCAAGCATCAAATAAACAAGTGAATCGGTATCAGCATTCAGACCGAAATACATATCATAACCACCATCTAATGCATCTGCTGAAATTATATTCTTTTTTTTTAAGCTGAGTAGTAAATCGGATAACGAAGTGATGATTTTTTTTTTTTTAAATTCCAAAAAATAAATAAATAAAGATTTGAGAACTAAAAAATAAAATTTCAAATGGTTGGCAATGTTAAGAAAAAAATTACAAAAAATTGCAAGCGCAAAATGATTCTTGTGCTTTTTTCTTTGATTTTTTCAGTAATCGGAAAAATGAACTATACGTAAATTTGACATTCTGTCACTAATTAAAAATAAAATTCGATAATAATAATGAAAAAGATTGGTAAGAATCATTAAATTTCTTCAGTATATCTAAAGGATATTTGGAATTAAACTTTGAGGTGATAAGATTTTTTGCATATATTTCTGTTGTATCGATTAACTTAACTGTAACTATCCAAAGTTTGTACTGCTACAAATTTTTTGTTACAGTACACAGAGGTTAACTGATAGAAGAAACATTACCAAAACAATAATATTTTTCCGGAAATCTCAAACAAATCAAAATATTATTATTATCATAAAATCCGTTTCTACTTCACTGGGATACAATTATACTTTTAATGTATGACTTGTATTAAACAATCACAGAATTTTATTCAGTCATTAAAACTCACAAATTTAACTTCATCAGTTTTAATAAATTTATATGCATTCATAAAAAATTTATTTACCAATTCCATGAGAATGATATAACATCGATGTTACACCATCAAATCGGAATCCATCGAAGCCGTATTCTTCAATCCACCATCGAAGATTGGAAAGTAAAAAGCGAAGAGTTTCAATTCTGAAACTCATTAACTTCTTCAAATTTCAGATTTAAAAATCAAATTTAAAGAAAAAAAATTTCAGATTTAGAAAAAAAAAAGCTTTTATTAACTCTCAATTTTACACAATGCAATTCGATTAATAAAATTGTAATTTAGAAAAAATTTTGATAAAAATTTCAAAAACTTGCTGCGTATAATTGAAAAGTCGTGAATCCCAAAGGCTATGATAGCCACGGTTACTGTCATGGAAATAACTGTTCTGCGTACCATCCCATTCATTCAATCCATCTTCCACATTCTTTGAAGCATGTGAATGCACCACATCAAGCAAAATAAGCAGACCTGCTTCATGTGCTTTATCTACGAGATATTTCAGGTCATCTGGTGTCCCGCAACGACTACAAAATAATATTTGTTAAAATTTTTGTACTTCTCTGAAGACAAATTTTGTAAGTTACAATAATAATGACAATTTTGTACTTCTCTGAAGACAAATTTTGTAAGTTACAATAATAATTACAATTTTTGTACTTCTCTGAAGACAAATTTTGTAAGTTACAATAACATATATAATTACAATAAAATTCACACTTCCTTTCTTCCAATCACTGTAGCTAAATTAATCTGAAAAAAAAATAAAGAAATTTATATAACAAACCTTGATACTGCAAAGAAACTAGTAACCTGATAGCCAAAACTAGCATAATAAACGTGTTCCATAATGGCCATCAATTGAATGGTATTATAGCCTAAAATATATTATCAGTAGCAGCTAAAAAAAAAAAAATATTCAAGAAAATATTTGATGATAAAATAGAAGAGAACAGTAACCTTGTTTCTTGATTCTTGGAATAACATCATTCGCAAAATTTTTATAGCTATTAACTTTGCCTTCCAAACTAGATATTCCAACATGTGCTTCATAAATTCGTAATGATTCTGGTTTTGATGGTTTTGGATATTTGAAATGGTAACGTTCCGATTCTGGTGGATTATAAAAAGGCTATAAAACAGTTACAAATATAAATATTATACTAGTTTATTGATTCGAAATAAATTAATAAAAATAGGAAATTAGTCCGTACCATCTGTACTAGTTGTCAAGTTTGATGAGAATTTTTTGCTTAAAAAAAAAAAGAAAACATTTAATTATTGAGTTATTTATTTTTGAAAAATCCGCGAAATAAATTCTTTTAATATAAATTTTTGGTGCATTTTTACTCATTTATTTGTAAATAAAGTGAAAAAAAAAACAAAAAATCGATAGTTTACCATGTGATAAACTGTTGTTTCTTTTGGCCGTGTAACATAAGGCGCCCAAGGCGATAATTTAAAATGGAATACATTATTCTTTTTTACAGCGACCTTAAAATATGCGAAAAAAATGGTATTTTTTAGATTATAATTTTTAAATTTTATCATTTCATTCATCATATATAATTTTGAAGCTGAAATTAGAAATATTATCAAGCAAATTGGCCATTTCACCAATACATTTTAACATATCAAAAGCTAGCATGTTATTCTTGATATTGGAAGGAATACCTTAATTATCGATCCGTGCTTAATTGCACAATTACCGTCTTTATCAGGCGGAATAATTAATTCCCATTTGCCAAATTCCAGCTTTTTATATGAATGTGATTCATTATTCCAATTGTCTGCAGCGAGAAAATAAAAATTACATTTATTAAAATTGCTACAACAAGCACTTTCAAATTTTTAACTTTTTCCTGCTTAATATAATTTGCTTTTTTTTCTTTTAAATATAATAAATTTTTTAAACTTACTAAAGTCTCCTACTAATGACAAAGCTTCTGCTCCCGGTGCCCATTCCAGACAATGAATTGAATTATCTTTCATCACCACAACACCATATTCTCGATAAGCTGTTGTGAATGTCTCCCATCCACCACACTATAAGCATCACTATTAATTAGCAAATAATCAATACAATAAAAAAAATGCTCTGTTAGGATTTAAATCACATTGAAATCCAATAAATTTTGCTCTCATCCTTGCACACATCACATCACTTTTTATACTTCACTATTTATCAACATATTCCAAAATAATCCAACTTAATCACATACCTTTATCAATAATGATTACTGATTCATCTTTACGAATAATGATTATTGATTCACGCCATTTTGCTATATATGCTACAAAATTTTAACCTCTTCAATTTTCTTCGAATAATCAAGGAATACTCCATATCTGCGACAAATCTCATTCTGATAATTCCACAGATAACCATCAAGCTTTAACAAATTGTCAAGTCGAGGCGGTCTGTTATCACAGCCACCACCACTCATTGATAATCTCCTACAAAATCTCACCAATCATTTCATCGATTTTCATTTTAAAACACAATTTTCATTATGAAATCAAAGGAATAGAACATTTGAAATGTAAAAATATGACAGATAATTCTTTTTCTTTTGCACTGTTTCATTTATTTCAAAAAAAAAGCGAAGAAAAGAAAAGATATAACATTTTTCAAATGAGAATAAAAAAAAAGGAGACAAGCAAGAACTAAAGTCGAGAATATCATTGATGAAGGAAAATAGTTTCAAATATCGATCCATTAGAGCATTAGCAATTTATTTAGGAGATGTAATAAAAGATTATGTCACATTGAAAAACCCCGTGAGGAAATTTTATTTTCGTATCAAATAGGAAGTTAACAAAATAGCAAAAACAATAAATGAGATATTTCAGGTTAAAAATCAGTATTAAGAAAAGCTCAAAAACTTAACATCTGTGAAACAGAGGAAAGTAAGCAAATGCTATCACAAATTGCTAATGAAAAACCAGCAACAAAAAAAAAAATAAAGCAAATTTTAATATTTTGGAAAAACTAACACACACTTACAACACACATACATACATACAAACATACATGCATACATATACATATATATATTTATATATATATACATACACGTATACATACACATACACACACACACATACACATACACACACATAC